TGACGCGGCTGGGGATCAAACCCCAGGCCTTCCGCACTCCAGGGGGAACACTCTACAACTCGACCACACAGGTGTTCGTATTCCTCATGAAATAATAGTTCCAGATACAATTCTTCTGATCATTGCATCATAATTCTGTTAAGTTACAATATTGGGTATAATACTTAACTGTATGACTGGTAGAATTTGTGTGACCAGCTGATTGCAATATCCAGCGTAGTTTATGATAAAATACACAAAGTAATCATAACCTCTGCACATAAAAAAACAATGCCAAGCAGAACAAGAAATACAATTTAAATTGTAAATCATCATGTCTAGTGATGTTTTATCCCAAGTTCAACAAGTTTGTTATCACCTGTTCGTTACCTGAATTTGCTGAAGAGATATGATGGAGATTTTACTGCGCAAAACACACACAAAAATATTCTGAAAAATATTGAATTCCCAAGAGGGGGGTGTACATTATACTTGGGTGTGCACTATTTTCCAGAAAATATGATATCACTAAGACGTCATTATATTGTAATTTGTTACAATACTTCCATAGAACAGGGCTTTCTTAGTACGTACAGTAAAGTACAGCCAGCATCAGGCACATCTGGCACATCTGGCCTCACAGAGCCCAATCAACAGATCAAACCTAAGCATGTTGATTGGCATGTCGTAAATAACTATTCAAAATACACTTTGGTCCAATATTTTACAATGTTAATTAACAGTCATAAAATGACAAAATATACACGGGGAATTATGTAATTTGCCTGCCAGACAATTTTGGGGAAAAATCGTTATATTGTGTATTACACCTGTGTACCCAATACGATAATGCCTTATCCTCTATGTTCTCCTGTTATCAGTGAAATAACAAGGCACCTCTACTAAGCCATAATATTAGTCATAACTGTATTAATATCAGGGATCGATTTAAGGAACTTGATTTAACTTGCATCTGGTGCATGCTGACATGAAAACCAAGTTGCATCAAACAGAACCAGGTTGCACTCTGGTCCCATAAATTTATCAAAGTTGATACATAGGCCGGCCCGCTGCCACTGTCACTTAAATAAAGATGCAATGCTGTAGAATATAATAGGACCATGTGCAAATAACAGGCAGACATAAATATTAGGTTTCATTTTTCAATAAAAGGTTGCACTTGTGCATGTTTGATATAGCCAAATCGAGCTCTGAACATGACTGACTTGACTATAAACCTGCACAAGCCGATTTTAACTTGCATCAGTGCAGTCTTGTCAATGGGAAATCACATACTGTTCTTGTATTATGAGTAAAATATATAAAACAACTTTTGTTAATATCTAACCAAAAATATACACAGATATTCATTCACAAATGATTACCCTTCTAATCAATAGACAAAAAGGTGAAAAAGTGGAAGAGATTTTTCTCTCACGTATCTTACAATAATCCATGTATTAAATTGGCGATGTCTGACCATGAATAATATTTACATTAGTATGTAGACAAAATGATCAAGCATCAGTGTCAATCATTGTCAAACAATGATTTTGCGAGCATACAGTCCTATAAATATTATGATATTACAACTGAATAATTTGCCAATGAATTTGTAGCATAAGATTTGAAAATGAAAATGAAACCTACTGCAGATTTGCAGAAAAAACCCACAGAATTTGCCTTTTTTGATCAATCAATACAGTAATTTTCATTATTTTCAAGCTTTCTTTTGAAATTTCATTGTTTGCAATTCAAACATACATAATATCAATCCTACCTTAAGGCAAAATTTGATAGAAATAATGTCCTTTGCTGCTTGCTGTTTAACACTGATCTCAGCAATATTCCAGCTTCTCCTTTCTAAACGTTCTTGTGGTGTTATGACCACATAAACTAATCAAATTGCAGATATGTATTTGTTTGCTCCTATAGTATTTGAATCTAGGGAGACCTACATCATCAACTTTTAACATTTGGGTTATGCTTTACTTCAAACACGCGTAACACTTCCTCAGATTGTGCCATGGCACACAACCAGCCCTAGACAAATTCTTTGGCTAAAATTTTAGGAATTCTTTGGCTAAAATTACAAAATTCTGGGGTAAAAATACAGCCAATTCCCCTTGAAAAATTAATTAGAACTCTTTTATATTCTTTAGAATATTTTGTTGATTACATTTAAATTTTATGGTCAGATATAAGCATATATTACTGCATAAAGGTGATACTGGTTTCATCTTTAATCGCAAAAAGAAAATAATAAAGAAGCCATTTTAAAAAAATAATATCAATATATAAAAAATTCTATCGGATGCATGAGATAGACGCATTGGGGATTTTATATTAGACCTGTAGTCTGTCATACACTGAAACAAACATATCCAGTACAGCCTATGCAAGTTAATAATGTTTGGCAAGTCTAGATTACTGCAGTCCTTAAAATGAAGAAAGTCTCTTGGCTCCTTTTTATACTATTTTTTTAAGAGATTTTATTTATTTTAGAAACTAGATGTTAGTCCACTAGATCTGCTCATAGGCTGATATTTGGTACCAAGTCTGCAGCAAATGTCAGCTTAAACCCCAAATGGAAAAAAATTATTTCCTATTCATTTTAATGAAGTTATAACTAATGAGATGGCTTGGTTGAGGTTGCTTGTATTCTACCATTAACATGACTAATATTGAGAAACACTTTAAATGTTTAATTTTACATTATTGCAATGAATTCAATGTTTAATACAAAGTAATAATAGATTATACAAATGTTAAGAAAACAGGGTTTACTAGTGCAGAAATGTTCATCCCGTTAGCACAAATGTATATACAACATGCACAATAATATTCATTGTACCCAACTCTAGACAAGAAATACAAAGGTCATGTAATCAATGGTAATTAAAGCAGTTATCAAATCTTACAATACAGTACACTATACACCATTATTTTCTGAACACTAGTGGACAGGACCCCTGGACTTAATTCTTGGGGGTCCCATGGAACCCACGTCTTGTAGATCAAGGTAAAGCCCTGGAAAACTAGAACATAAACAAAACAAATCCATATTTTGAACAAAACAGAATTATTGTCCTACTAAAATAAATCCCTGTGTATCTCTGTACACATGGTGTAACATCTGTCAAGGATGCTTCATGTGGTGAGCCACAATAAGGAGTATATGGATAAACCAGGGTATGATGCAGAACAATGGAACAGCTGATGGTCTTGTTAGGGAGTGGCAGCATGTGAGGTGAATTCAAATGGGTTTTAACGTCACGTTGAAGATGATTTCACTTTAATGGCTACGTGCATGCATGTGTGTGTCTTCATGTCATGTCTGGACATGCCAGTTTTTTAGTGCTTGACCAATGAGATACCATGCCGCAGTTTGAACATAGACACATAGCCCACTCAGATACAGCTACCAGGCTCTGAGTCCTTGTATTATCCCCTTAATACCGAACACAGGGAGAAAACAAGCATCATCGTTAACCGTTTTTGGTATGACTTGGCCTGGGATTGAAGCACTGATCTTTCTGCTCTCCAGGCAGGCAGTTTGGTAGGATGTAACTTTCCATGTCAAAAAGGGAAAACAGAGAGGTCTGGTAGGATGTAACTATCCATGTCAAAATGGGAAAACAGAAAGGTCTGGTAGGATGTAACTATCCATGTCAAAAAGGGAAAACAGAGAGGTGGTCAGGTAGGATGTAACTTTCCATGTCAAAAAGGGAAAACAGAGAGGTCGGGTAGGATTAACTTTCCATGTCAAAACAGGGGAAAACAGAAAGGAGGTCTGGTAGGTTGTAACTATCCATGTCAAAACAGGGGAAAACAGAGAGGAGGTCTGGTTGGATGTAACAATCAATGTCAAAACAGGGGAAAACAGAGAGGTGGTCAGGTAGGATGTAACTATCCATGTCAAAACAGGGGAAAACACAGGGCGGTCTGGTAGGATGTAACAATCAATGTCAAAACAGGGGAAAACAGAGAGGTGGTCAGGTAGGTTGTAACTATCCATAACTAGTGTTCCAGCTGGCTTTTGAAACTGCCAGTCCTGGTGGACTGTCAACTCCAGAAATTACCAGCCCCCCCCTAATTTTTGTTAGTCCCAACTTTCAATAAATACAAAATGTATGAAAATTACCTGGTTTTAATTCCTTCAACATCATGTTCAACGCAATGACATCATCTCTGCAGTCAAAGTTATATCTACACGTCATTCACACAAAGTTCAGTAACTATTTTTTTCATATATTTTAGTTTTTCGAGACGAAGTTGCTACAAATATTTTACTTTGAAGCAAGGGAAAATGTTATTTCCTTCCACTAAAAGTAGACAAGGGGAAACCTCGATGGTAACAGACAAGCTGACCTCGTTCGGAAAAATTTGAATATTGCTTATGATTTGTTCAACAACAAAGATTTTGATAAGGCACTATATTTTGCGGATCCACAAGGACTGGCAATCACATGATTTACTGGTCCAAGCCTAATTTTACCGTAACTATCCATGTCAAAACAGGGGAAAACAGAGGCGCTACGGAAGGATGTAACTATCCATAACAAACCTGCTGAAAACGTGGAGACGGTCTGGTAGGATGTAATGACCCATGTCAAAACAGGGGAAAACAGAAACAGTATTATTTTCTTATATGCATGTATATTTCATTTCTGTATTGTATATTGACTATTATCAAGAAAAATATTCCAATAAATCATAAACTTAATGGTAAACATAAACATTTTTAGCCCACTTGTCCTTATGATGATAACATATGGCAAAACCCTTAAAAATGGCAAACTTCTACAAGTCCTTGTGATACTTTAACTATTGGGCAGTATGGCAAGGACTACAGGACGAGTGCCAATTTCTAACGCTGCACATGTCACAGTCCAACCACCCCATGTACACAGACCCGACAGATGCATTATTCATGTATAACATTTCTGTCCAGGCCACTTTCTGGGTTGATTGAACAATGGATTTGGGGCTAAATATTACCAGTACCGGTGCCTACTTACAGCTTGTGTGAGGTCACCATTGTGGACAGTTCGTATCCTGTAATAAGAGAATCTGCTTGGTGATGAGGAACAACGGAAACTCTTGCTGATGGATGGTAGTATCTCCTGTTGGAATTCATGGGAATCGTTGCTAATTTCAGTCAACAAATCTGAAAAATATTCGAAAGAACATGAAAGAGCATGATATAAATATGCATACTATATTATAATCTTTTGGATATAAGATTATTATGTCATCAAATGTACTTAGTATTCTAGAATGTGACATGCATATGATACAAGCATGATAAACATTCTTCAATGTGCCTGTGTGTTCCAAGTGTGTAACAAACTCACAACTGCGACAAACATGACTAATAGTCAATAAACAAGACGTAGTGTTTGTTCATGTAATATTTAACACAGTAGAGATCATATACATAATTAATGCATTAGCCCTGCCTGCATTTGATCACTAACAAAGTAAAAAGATGTCTGTGATGAAATACCCGGTACATGTATGCAAGTTACAAAGGATTTGGGGGTAATTCATGCAGTGTTGTTAAACTATTGAGGTGAAAGTTTTCATGCACATTTGTTTGCAAGCAAATGAAAATAAGCTGTGTTTTGGTGATTTATTGTGCATACTTTATCAGCTTATCTGGAACAGAGTAAACATTGAAAAAGCTACCAAATCATTCACACATGCTCAACACATTGCTGTGTATCTTGATCATATTTATCACAATAGGTGACGGACACTTACGAAGGTTACAGATAGGCATGGCGTCTCATGGTTTTACTCTACGGACACCTAAAAGTGATGCCGATGCCATTTGACACGCTTGACCTATTCAGTAATCTACAAGTTACTGAGTGGTGAGGAAAGAACTGATATGGCGCAAACTGAAAACAGCACCAGGCATCCGACGTCAAATTCGTGGGTACATATGAAAGACATGGTATTTTTTAATAATTTAATATTTCGTCAGGTGATTTTGTGACAGAAATGTGTAGGAGGTTATACGATAAGGATGTGGATATAGTAAGGAATGAGGAAGGCATAAGTATTGCTGATGATGACACAAGAGTGAGTCAGCTAGTACCGAAAAAATAAAACTGGAGAAACTGATTTTGTGGATGTTCTGGGAAAGTTTCCAGAAGGCAAAATATTCGACACTAAACCACTTCATCCTGCTTTCTTGATGTTTTTTTGTGTTTGAAGACTACTAAGAGCCACTATAGAAACTAATATAGCCACTAAACTGGTTCCTAACCCTAATGATCCTAAATGGGTGATTGATCATAAAAGGTATCCAAGGGCTAAGGATATAGTTAAGGTAACCTACCCTAACAATCAGTGACGATCAGTGAAGCCAGAACTGGAGCCTACAAACCTAATTTATTTATTTATTGAAAAGATGTCCCTCAGGAGATTGAATAATAATTGATAAAAAAAATTATGTATATGTATACTGGTTCCCATTTATAATCCATTAACCCCCACGAATTAAGTTTAAATCGAAATACACAATATACTGAAACTAAAAGTGCTTTCATAAACTAGCTATTGCCAGGGTCCCAGGTAATTTTTCAGCATCAGGAGTACATACTCCTTATTATTTCAATATAGGAGTACAGGCAAAACTAAAGAGTACACTTGGAGTACTGACTGGAATTTAATGGATTAATCTTGTATTTCACTTCAGATATACACCACAGCATTGCTACACTCGTGTAAACAGGTAAATAAACAATAAATAATACTTTTCTTGTTGTACATGTATGTCCATTGTATAATGCACCCCACCCGACTCCACCATGGTATTCAGTATTTTTAGGGGGAAAATTGGAGTATTATGAGCATAAAAGTTCTATATTGTATCCCTTCAACACAGTCAGGTAAACATGGTAAACAAACAGGTGATAACAAACTTGGTCAATACAAATTTGAGATAAAACATCACTAGACAAGATGATCTACTGTTAGTATTGTATTTCCAGTCCTACAAGGCATGGTTTTATATGCAGAGATTTAGATTACTGTGTGTGTTTTCTCGTAAACTAAGCCAGAAGCAGCAATCAGCTGTACACATGTTTTCTCATAATCTACCGGTGATTTGGTTAAAAATTACCCAATCATACAACTTTAAAGAACTTTGATGAAATGATCATAACAATTGTACCCCAAAACTATCATCAGGAATAATATATTCCAATATCGATATATTTTAGTTGCGGCTTTACTATATATATTTAAAACAACAATAACTATAAGCGTAGCACTAACTTTAGTATTGCTGATCGCTATTGCCCGATATGTTTTACGTAGGGAAAAAAATAACCAGGCACCATGGTCACCGTTGAGGCTCCCGTGCTCAAGAACTCTATGTTGACATATAACAGTCAAACAACAGCAAATATGACTTCTAATGAGTCAGAGTATAACATTTATGATGTATCCATTCTCTATCAATTAAAGTTCGTTTCAAGGCACCACTAACGGTTATCTGACCGTGGTTGCTGTCAGTAGACCGATCTATCGATCACTTCACATACTACTTCATCGAAATTAATGTAAACAATATTGAATGAAATTTTGAATAAAATTATTAAAATAATATCAAAACTCTCAACATTGCTGGACTTATTCAATGACAATGTGTGTAAAGGTGATAGATCACTAAGAGGAGCCTATGCATACCCCATTACCCCGGCAACTTTGTTGCTAGACTGACCTACCAGGGCATTATTTTGCATCTGTGTTATGCAACAAAATTTCACAAAATATTTGGTAGGATATTGCGACGTGCTTGTAAACATGGTGGTGCTGAATTCTCAGGTAGTCTCAATTCCACATTCGGGGAATATATTGCCATGTATATAAACATGTGAAGCAGCATTGTAGACCTGTCAACATTCTTGAGATACAACATTTGCGAAATGTGACATGAAATTATTACCAGCCATTCAAGTTAACCTCTGGGTTACCCATGTACATGATGTACCGGTAGTTGAATTTGTTTGTAAATTTAGTTCAGCAATATTTGTTAAATATTTTCAAAAGTTCTAAGACGATAAAACTTGTATCTGTTGACATGTATTGAAAATTGGGGTCACCTTATGATGCTGTTGATGTTCCAATGCTACATCAGTAGTATGACATGTGATCCAGCCAAGGCTGATATTGTACTAGGCCCTAACTTGCTAATCTTCTCCTGCCCATGATGTATAGACTATATTATAATATCATGTATATAATACTTACCAATAATTTTGGTAAATAAGATATCAATTGTCATTCAGCAGATAGAACAGAGTAAACATCTATCAGCACGAATCTGCTTCATGCATAATCATATTGGGAGGTTGACTGGTGCAACAACATGCAGACATGGCCAATATTTGTATGCATAATATTTCAATGCATTTGACTAACCGTACCTAACTGACGATTTTGAAGATATTTACATTACAAGTGAAATCATAAACATAATCTATTGTGTGAATGCAAAAATATAGATAGATCAAATATACATTTGATAATGATAACTTATTAATGTCACGAAAGCATGACATTTAGTACAGCAAGAATGTTATGACGTCACGGGTCTGAATGCGTAAGACTACCCGTTTCAAAGATTACCTAGATTATCCAGATAATGTAAACATTCTGTTTCTGTCAACTAAGTTTGCATATACATAAATGTACCTTCTTCCTTCCTCTTCAGCTTAGGAATGACAAAAGAAGGTGTGTTGTCCATTCTGATTGATTTTTGTTCATCATCCAATGTATCATTTCCGGGTACCTTCGCGCCATGTTTGTTTTCAAAAATGTCTGCTTCCGTGCTGTCTTGAACCCTTTTCTGACAGTTCAATTCAGAAGTTTTGAATGACACTGAATCCCCTTGGGATTTGATGCCGCTGTCAACTTCGCTTGGGCGCTTGACATTGAAAATATCAAACACATTCGCCATTTTCTAGAGACAGGCCATCCTTTTGCCGTCTGTCGTTTGTTGACTGGGACGCGAATACACCACGTGAGGTAAAACTTGTTTGCGCATGCACGAGCAAGAGACGACTAGGGGAAATAACTCGTGTACGCCAAGGTAGCAGGATTCGTCTTCACGGTCAGCTGCCATTTTTCGGTTTGGGAATGTGTGTTATCAGGGAAGAAATTGTCCTATTACAAAATATTCGAAATAAACTAATGGAGTGTATTTAGGTGAAATATTTGGACACCGCTTCCGTTTATTTAATATGACAGACATTGATATATATGAATATCAATAACCCTCATAAACAATGTAAGGCAAAAACTACGCTGAACAACGGGGGTCGGTAGGCAATTTCCTTTCAAGGTCGAACATTGTGCATAGTCAATACCTTTATTGCGCTGCAGTACATAATATATTGACGTTTTTTTCAATTAATAGCCTGCATACATAGTTTAGTCTTTAAACATATTTGTTATAACCATCTATTAAAGCAGCGTTTTATGAGTAAAAAGGATATATATGAATGCCAATTTTTAGATCTAATTTTGATATCGATATATAAATATTTTGGAAACACATGCCCAAATATGACATTTTATTAATGTCTTGTGCGAAGAAATTAGGCAATTAGGCTAAACAGGCGTCCCCGTTGAAGGAAAATGAGTTTGGATGTTTTAGGAGTGGAACTAATTAACCTTGAGTGAGTGAGTTGGATTTAACGCCGCTTTTAACAGTATTCCAGTTATATCACGGCGTGTCAGCTTAATGTGGGAGGAAAGCTCGAAGTGATGCAGGTCTCAGACGTTTACCACTTCGATGAAACCCACGAGCACGGGTATGGTGCTGACAAACCTAGAAACATAATCGGGGCGAACCAGGATTCGAACCCACAATCATAGGTTTCTGGCGTGCCTAAGGGACGCAACTCTGCACAGCGAATCGCGGCGCATTAGACGACTGGGCCACCCGTGCCCCCAATTAACCTTGAGCGTACACAAGATCTCTCTGTCTTAAAAGAAATAAAAAAAAAAATATCATTGTTCGGGAAGTCCATGTCAGAATTTCGAAAAATATAGCATATCTTGTACAGATAATTTGCATTTTATTTGCTGTGTATACGGCGTTCACCATGGTATCCTAGAGTTCGCAGGAACCTCATATATATATATATTCAACGACGACGTTCATACAGTGTTTGGGGGCACGGGTGGCTCAGTCGTCTAAGGCGCCGCAATTTTCTGTGCGGAGTTGCGCTCCTTCGTTCCTTGGGCACGCCAGAAACCTATGATTGTGGGTTCGAATCCCGGTTCATGCCTATTATGTTTCTAGGTTTGTCAGCACCACACCCGTGCTCGTGGTTTTCACTGAAGTGGTAAACGTCTCAGGCCTGCATCACTGTGGGCTTTCCTCCCACACTAAGCTGATATATCTGGAATATTGTTAAAAGCGGCGTTAAACCTAAGTCACTCACTCACTCACTCACTCACTCATACAATATTTGGCCCCCACTCTATTATGGTTCATACTCCAATGAACTCACAAAAAATGAAAGTAAATTCTTATGATTTTTATATCACTATTTTTTAACTCGAAGGATGTAGGTCTAGATCTAGACACAGTTTTATTCAGTTTCTAGTTGGACTTCATGTTTACATTGACAGCTGCTGTGCATCCAGCTGTATCGTAGAATAAAATAGTTCCTCAAAACGAGAGGTGACATGAGTGTATGTGTGCTCAACATGCTCTACAGGTAGAACTTTTGGAGTTTCTTTACAACAAATGTATTTAAAAAAATATTCTCATCAGATGAGAAACCTACGTTAAGAACTACCTCAGTAAGTCAGTCTCAATGACAGCGCGTAAAATGTCAAAATGTATAAAATGGCCCTTCAGGTTATAGTAGGAGGAAGTTGCGCAGGTCCTAGACGTTTGCCACTTTGGCGAAATCCACCAGCACAGGTATGGTGCTGACAAACAAGGATAAAAAACAGGGAGAATGAATTTCTGACCATAGATTTTTGGTTCGTCCAAGGGACACAACTCTGTACAGGGTTTCTGCGTGTTGGAGTGAAGGCGTTGAATGGGCGGCTTGGAGAGGGAAGCATACGTAAAAGGGAGGGGTGCCGGTTGTGTTGGTGTGAGGGTAGTGACTAGGAGACGGGAGGTGGTGTCGTGAAAGGAAGGGGTGGGGCAGTGTTGGTGTGAGGGTAGTGACTAGGAGACGGGAGGTGGTGTCGTGAAAGGAAGGGGTGGGGCAGTGCTGGTGTGAGGGTAGTGACTAGGAGACGGGAGGTGGTGTCGTGAAAGGAAGGGGTGGGGCAGTGTTGGTGTGAGGGTAGTGACTAGGAGACGGGAGGTGGTGTCGTGAAAGGAAGGGGTGGGGCAGTGTTGGTGTGAGGGTAGTGACTAGGAGACGGGAGGTGGTGTCGTGAAAGGAAGGGGTGGGGCAGTGTTGGTGTGAGGGTAGTGACTAGGAGACGGGAGGTGGTGTCGTGAAAGGAAGGGGTGGGGCAGTGTTGGTGTGAGGGTAGTGGCTAGGAAACGAGAGGTGGTGTCGTGAAAGGAAGGGTGAGGGTCGTGTTGGTGTGAGGTTGGTGACTAGGAAACGGGAGGTGGTGTCGTGAAAGGAATGGGTGGGGCAGTGTTGATGTGAGGGTAGTGACCGGGAGACGGGAGGTGGAGACGTGAAAGGAAGGGGTGGGACAGACCGCCGTCCAATAGCTGGAATATTGCTGAGTGCGGCGTTAAACAACAAACAAACATCATTCGGAAATCACTACACACAAGGGAGATGATATTCCGAAGAACAAGTATTCCAAATGTTGCTGCCGCGCTGCTGAATTTCAAGCTTTACCGGTTAAAGAGGCAGTAAAATCTGTCAACTCTCTCTCTCTCTCTCTTTAGTGCCACTGGCGTGAAAACTATCAAAAGTTAAATCCATGTTTACAGAATGGTGTTAGTCACGTGACCAAGTAAACTCGGAATGTCTTACGTCCCGAACAAAAGGTAAAACCAGAAAATTAGAATTGTTCTTAAAAATATATTTTTGTTCTCATTTCTATGATCGTTTTGCTGGTCAGAAAAGGTAGATTGTGACGGTTTCAGTGGAACGAGGTTATTGTGCTGACTTATTGAAAAACGTTTAGCTTGCTGCAGTCTTAGAAATGGTTATGTATGAAGGTTGTCATGGTGACCAGTTTGAAGATATCGGTACATTACCCAAATACATCCCTATTAGTCTGACCTAGCGAGGAACAGGGCCAGTAGATCAAGTGTTATCTTGCCAGGTCGACTCCTCAAGACACCAAGCCCATTTTAATGCTCCCAGTCATGATACGTCCAGGCGTTAAGCCCAATCCTACCTTCACATTTTAAAATCCTGCATTTAGTTGCTCGGCAAAGCAGTATCGAATAGGTGATAAACCTACTGTGTCTTGATATTTGATGCGTCTTATTATGAATTTGAAACCAATTGATTTACCATGACGATAAAGGTTTGGAAACGGTACTCTTTTTTAAAGCGTAACTACATATCAGTAAATAGGACAGCTATCTTAGAACATCCCGAACGGGGGCCACAGGTAGTGAAACACGTAACAAATATTAATACTCATATTGAAGAATAATTATTTGTATTATTGACTGGTTGATACGCAGATCAAAAGAAAGAAGCGATCAAATCACTTTCCATAGATCCATATCTATTGTATTTGTTCAATATGTATTTCATTGATTGGACTCAACTAAGTCATTTCGTGCAAGTCAACATTGCATCTCCCATTGTAGGAGAGACTGGTTGTAGTGACACTAATGAACTAATTAATTATCAACAAACGTTATTAAATAACATACTTATAGTTATTTTGAAGTTGTACTTGTGTACCAGTTGGTTTAAGTGAGTGAGTTGGGTTTATCGCCGCTTTTAACAGTAATCCAGTTATATCACGGCGTGTCAGCTTAATGTGGGATTAAAGCCCGAAGTGATGCAGGCCTCGGACGTTTACCACTTCGATGAAACCCACGAGCACAGGTATGGTGCTGACAAACCTCGAAACACCACGAGATCTGACTTGGTTGTGATTCATGGAAAATTGAAAGCAAATGGCTACATGAATCACATTCTTCAACCTCGTCTGCCTCCAATCATTACCCGCCAGACGGAGCTGTTTCAACAGGACAACGCTCGTGTCGCGGTCGACTACCCACATAATGCTAACATCAACGACTTGCCCTGGTCGTCGAGATCTCCAGATCTCAACCCAATCAACCAAAACACCTCTGGGATGAACTCGATCGACGTGTACGTCAACGTCGGAACACGCCGCAGACACTATCACAACTGGCCAACGCGTTACAATCAGAATGGCACAGAATTCAGCAGGACAGAATTCGTACACTTATCCAGATGCAGAGCCGTGATTGCTGCCCGAGGCGGTCACACGAGATACTGAGTTCAGCGCAACCTTGTGGCACTTATGTGACATGACAATGAACAGTTTTCAATGACTTTGTACAGCGATAACATGTGACTATCGAGCTCCAAATTTCATATTTGTATACATGATTTTAAATTGAATACATCGACTTTATTAGGTACAATAAATTTACTAAAAATCTACCTGCGTTTGAAATTGAAATCACAAGTTTATCTCCTAGTTCACTCACATAATCCAGCAATTATTTTGCAGAGATCTGAATTTCCAGCCTTCCCGATAGTTCCAGATTGAATTGTTGTTTAACGCCTCTATAATGGTCCAGCTATAGTACGGCTTCTTGTTCATAATTGAGTCTAGACCAGGTAAGCCACCGACTAAAAGCCCGAGCAACGATCTACGCCTTAGGGAGACCACCCGATCCAATTGAGTGAGTTGGGGTTAACGTGGCTTTTAACAGTATTCCAGTTATATCGCGGCGTGTCAGCTTAACGTGGGAGGAAAGCCCCAAGTGATTCAGGTCTCGGACGTTTACCACTTTGGTGAAACCAACGAGCACGGGTATGGTGCTGACAAACCTAGAAACATAATCGGGG